AAGAATGAGGCTCACAGTTTGATGAAATCTTCAATTGAATGATGCTATTTTGGAGAGGGTAGAAAGTTGTTCCCCTTAGATGTAGCCGGTCAACGCAGATAAACTCAATGGCCGAATGACTGCATCCAAAAGTGGGCGAGATATGGCAATCTATAATGGGATAAAAGGTACAGATAATGTCCATCAATTATCCACTTGGCACATTTTCTCTTTATACTGTTGAATGTAACCCACCTGTTCATAAAAATGGACTTGTCCGACATTGCCAAGATCTGATTGTATTCAGGGAGTCATCATTGTTTATTATTATTATCAACATAATTAAAGAGGATGTACATAATATTGATATATCATATAAGAAATAAGCCATTATGTCATATTCAGTCTCGTGCCATAATGTCATATATTCAGTCTAGTGCCATAATGTCATATATTCAATCTAGTAATAAATTCATAAATTCAATCTGTAATATGTTTGATCTAGTCCCAAAATGTCATATATTTGATGTAGTCCCATAATGTCATATATTTGATCTATTCACAAAATGTCATATATTTGATCTCGTCCCAAAATGTCATATATTTGATCTAGTCCCAAAATGTCATATATTTGATCTAGTCCCAAAATGTCATATATTTGATCTCGTCCAATAATGTCATATATTTGATCTAGTCCCAAAATGTCATATATTTGATCTCGTCCAATAATGTAATATGTTTGATCTAGTCACAAAATGTCATATATTTGATGTAGTCCCATAATGTCATATATTTGATCTAGTCCCATAATGTCATATATTTGATCTCGTCCCATAATGTCATATATTTGATCTCGTCCAATAATGTCATATATTTGATCTAGTCCCAAAATGTCATATATTTGATCTCGTCCCATAATGTCATATATTTGATCTCGTCCCATAATGTCATATATTTCATCTAGTCACATAATGTCATTTATCATATAATGGGTAGGTTTCTCGGCAGGATAAAGCCAACGGATAAAAACGATATCTGTTGGGGTCATATGCGGATAGAGATGCAAATATCAAAGGTCAAGTAGGACTACTTTCACTGTTTATAAACAAACATGGCGTCGCCCTCGTCATTCAGCAATTGAGTAAGAATTAACCATCGGGAATCTGGATAAACTACAGAGATAACTGCTATCATTATCAAATGAACAGTCTAATATACTTAAAATCAGTGTCTAGCTGTGACGTGGCTAAGGCATTTTATAAGTTTTGGCAACTTTGGAGAAACAAATTGCGAGGGCACGAAGCCTAGCCAAGCGGGATCAATAGCCATATCTGTGCTTGTAGACCTCTGCGGCTGGAAACCACAAATTAAAATAGTTGGATTTGGCCGAAATATGTTTGAATTGTTACCTTGTTTCGTTTTGTCGCTGTGTGTACATCTGACTACACTTCTTAACGTTATGACAGGACATACCGACTGTCAACAATGTCTGACCATGGCCGTGACGTCTCATAGACTAGGGTTAGAGTAGCTTCCCTTTGACAAAGGGCAGTTACTCGAGCAGACAGACCGATGGAATGCCGCGAAAGGCAACTAAAAACAACTGTTGTTTTGCGTATATGTTGCTTCACCACTGTATAAGAAACAGATTTCAGTTGGAACTATATTGGCTATGGTCACTGTCTGACTGACACATCACTAAACCTGTGACGTAATAAATATTAATGCGAGCAACCCAGGAAAACTCACAATGTTTCGGTAATGTTTGTGAGAGAGGGAAAGCGATTTTGAAGCTCAGAATTAAAGAATGACATTATATGATAAAGAGGTTATCACGCTTGTGTGTTTGGGGATGGTAAATATCCTGTATTAGGAATAAACACTATGTATTTAGCTCGCCAAGGCTCGCTTAATACAATGTTTATTCCTAATGCAGGATATTTACCATCCCCAAACACACTCGCGTGATAACCTCTATATATTTGATCTAGTCCCATAATGACATATATTTGATCTCATCCCATAATGTCATATATTTGATCTCGCCCCATAATGTCATATATTTGATCTCGTCCCATAATGTCATATATTTGATCTCGTCCCATAATGTCATATATTTGAGCTAGTCCCATAATGTCATATATTTGATCTCGTCCCATAATGTAATAATGGAACCCTCATTATGCTCATCATGTTTGTTTTAGGTAAAATATCTTTAGCTGTTAAGGTATTTGTTGGCAGCAGAAGGCATAGTTCCAGTGTTATTCACGCTGTATTTATGCAATACATTACCATTAGCTTACATATCCTATAAAGAGACTTACAATAAGATAGAGGTATGAACAGACAAGTCGCAATCTACACCACATCAAGCTAGGGGCAATTAACTCCAGGTGTGTACAAGTGTGGTAGAGCGCTGGGAGTGACCCTCCCTGTAGACCCTCTGAAGTAAGTCTTCCAAATTTAGCCTGGCTTGGCACCACCATGGAAGGTGATTCAAACTAACTGGTGATGTGAGGGTGCAGCCCGGATGATGATCCTCCCCTTGATTCAAGATGGACGTAGGTGGGGAGTCTGGTGTAATGAGGGGTGACTAGAAGACACGGGAGCATGGGGTCTGGACACTGACGGAACATCCTACCTGCATATTTACTTGCTACTGCTCAAATGATTCAGTGATAGGAACCTCCTTCAGGAATTTGGATATTGAGGAACCGTTACCTGTGGAGTGTTTTCTCCCTTACCTTTGGGAGGCTGCAAGATGGATTGTACAGAGTGAGTTGGGGCTTGAGGAAGGCGACCTGTTACAGTACAGGGAATGTTCAGTAGAATAGGGGAGTGCTTTGTTGAATGTTGTACTGTATACATTGCGTCAGTTAGAGTAAATTTCTTTCTCTGTTCTCAGAAATGAAGTATGCAGGTATAGAAAGCAAACCAATTGTTCCAACAGACAGGAATTGAAACGTGTCGGTGAAATTTATATGTATCAGTGTCAGATAATTACATTTAACAGATTTCTCTTTAGATGGGTAGGTATTTATGCATATTAATGTATTAAGTTTGTGATATAAGTATATGCCAGGCCTGACAGTATTGGTACAGTGGCATAGACATGGAAGCTGTTACCACAACATGGAGTTTCTTGTGAACAGGAACATCTCTTAGAAAACAAAACACAACCATGTTTTGGAGCCTTTTTTCATCCTTTTATTACAGTACCAGATGTGAGAAACAATTGAGTTTCTAACAGGAGTTTGCCTTCTGTGAAGAACAATAATAGGATGTTTGTAAGAGGTTGGTAGCATCCTGGAAGTAAATGGAGGTTACTTAGTTATCAGTTATATATCAAATCATTGTAGTAACATGAAATGGGAATTTTTTTATTCCAAATTGGGAATTTTTAATGACATTTTCTGCAGATTTGAAGCCGAATATCGGCCTCTGAGCAGGTTCAGAGAAATCCCTGTTGATCACATCAGAAGTATCTATTCATTTGTTACAGGAAAAGGAAATTGTACTCAGCAGTTAACATTTTTGTGTTGTCTTGAATATTTTTGTTCCTACTTCTTTTTCTTTGAAAAATTGTAATCCATCTGTTCAAAAAACATAATTGTTATTGATCCCATTGCATTTTATTGGCTGACCAAGCAAATTTTTTGCATTAATGGGGGAATGTTTTGTGCCAAGCCCACTAGCAGATTTGCTTATATTAATAGGGTGTGCGGGGCTTGGGCTGCATTACTGGACTGAACGTTGTCACTGATTGCGTATAATTATTGTCTACAGATTTTTTTGTTAATGATTTAGTACGCAGTCTGTGAAATGATTATTGTCAACATTAGAAAATCTTTAGGAATTCACTTCAAGTTTTATTATACCCCCGACCAAAATGTCGGGGCTATATAGTTATACCAAGGTTCGGTCCGTCTGAAAACTTTGTCCGCACGTTTTCTCTTAAACTATTCAGTGGATTCATCTCAAACTTAGGACATATAATCTGTGTCTTATGGAGTGGTGCAGTCAAAAGAAAAAAAATTGTTTTTATTAATTTCCCATTTTTTAATGAATTTTTTCAAACCCTAATGTCCGTCCGAAAACTTTGTCCACGCAATTTCTCTTAAACTATTCAGTGGATTCATCTCAAACTTAGTACATATAATCTGTGTCTTATGGAGTGGTGCAGTCAAAAGAAAAAAAATTGTTTTTATTAATTTCCCATTTTTTAATGAATTTTTCAAACCCTAACCCTATCCTCGCTATTTAATTTGAAACTACTGACACACTAGGCGGGTCGGGGGTATTAGTGAGCCACACTCTTTTTCTTGTTTTTCAATGTGTTTGGTGATTAGCACTTTGTGTAATACTGCTATGCTGGGCTTTATATTTATGCCTCCATCAATGCAAAAAATATTGAAGTCAGTTCTTAAATATTTTGAACTACAAAGGTGCATTTGTTCAAGACATATGTTGACCGTCCAGTTGTATTACCTGAATTCCAAGATAAATACTTCAGTACAAAACAAGTTATAAATATTCCTTTACCTTCTTAAACATTTATCGTGTACCTGTATGCCATACTGACGATATTCCTCAACCTTCTCTCATGTTTATCATATACCTGTATGCCGTACTGACGATATTCCATAACTTTCTCTCATGTTTATCATATACCTGTATGCCATACTGACGATATTCCATAACTTTCTCTCATGTTTATCATATACCTGTACGCAATACTGACGATATATTCCATAACTTACGCTCATGTTTATCATATACCTGTACGCCATACTGACGATATTCCATAACTTACTCTCATGTTTATCATATACCTGTATGCGGTACTGTATATATTCTATAACTTACTCTAATGTTTATCATATACCTGTATGCCATACTGACCTATATTACTACTACAAATACTTCTTTCCTGTTGACATCCCCTAAGCTTCTCTTATGTTTATCCTATACCTGTATGCCATCTTGACACTATTCTCTAACTTTCTGTCATATGTTTGCAGAGTGCTGATGAAAAGATAAGGAGCATTAGTAAACAGCCCGGATCCAAACCGGCGAGTCCATCTGCCCCAGAGCCACTGCAGAGGGAGGGGGACAATATGGCAGAACGGCGCATCCAACAACGCCAGGGTCGAAGGGATCGCTTTCGAGGTAACGAAGGAGGACGAGGAGATCAGCCAAGTAAAGCAGAAATCAAACGCCGGTCTCGGAGTGAGGGGCCCACCAACAGGGTGACTCGTGAGAGACAACTTACAGAAGAAGGCAGGCAGGATGACAATTTCGCATCATATGGGAAGAAAAATGAGAAAATTGTTGGTCCAATATGGGCAGTTACTCACAGTTCTACTGCCACACGGATGTCACGGTATTCACCACCCTTATCAGATGATGGGAATCAGATTCATGTGCAGGCTCAGAGACCAGCAGGAAGTGACTCAGACTCTAATGAAAGTGACACAAAAGTGTGGACCAAAAATCCTCTTGTTATGAGGAAGACTAAGAGAACTGGAAAAATAGAGAAACGCCAGTCGAACAGTGAAAATGGGTTTTCAACAGGGATACCAACACCTATCAAAACTAATCGTGAAAGTTTTGTGTACTGTGGTTCTCAAGACAAGGGGGATAGTGGTGGTGGGGGGGGCAGTTTAAAAGGGAACAAATACCAAAAGCTTGAAGAATTAAGGCGGAAACGAATTGACATACAAATGACATCTGATGAGGAAAACACTCCTGAGTCACGGATATCTCGACTCAGACAGCGTGCAATTCAAAGTGGCCTTGGTAAACAGCCAAGACCAGATAGTTTCAGACAAAGTGCAGTCATACCAGGAAGTCCAACACAACATTACTCCCCCAAATCTCAAGGGGCTTTCTTCCAGAATGGTTCATCTGATCCCAGATCTGGCGGGACCTCCCAACAAACAGGGAATCTAAGGTCCTCCATCACACAGTCATCTTACCAAGGCGTGAATGGTGCTCCTTCATCCTCTGCATATGGTTCACCGTATGGAGCAAAGCCAACTAGTCAGAGTGGAGGCCAAAATAGACAGCCTCTTATTCGTCCTTTTGATCCTAAAGGTTTTTCTGATTCTGGGATACCCACAAGGATTGATGCTCCAGCTAATGCTAACAGGTTTTCCCAACACAATGAGGTTCGTTCTCCTGTGACAAAGACTGCAGTGTACAACAGTTCCCCTGAGGTGGTCAAGCGGCCATTTGACCGTCCCCGTGTGCCGTCTGTGGACTCTATATATGAAGGAAGTAGCAACCAGCAGCCTGAGCTTCACTCGCCAGGCGTGGATTATAGCAGGAAATTTGGTGCTGGTACTACCTACCAGAATGTTGGCCATGGTTTTGTGTTCATGAGGCCAGCAAGCAGTGGGACAATGGAGGTACCAAAAGGAGAATTAGTTCATGCGCCTGTGCGTCAAGGGCTAGGACAGAAATCACCATCAAACTTTAATGAGGTGGTGGAGCTACGGTTGAAGACCAGTCGTCTCATAGATAGACCTCCTTCACAAAGTGTCCTCGATCAGCAGAGGAAGTTACGAGCTAATATAGCAGCCAATAGTGATGACTCATTAGATGAACTAATAGAGTCCAACATTCAGTATCTAGAAAGTGAGATAGAAAGTGGACGTGCTAAGAAAGGCTCTGCATCAGTGTCCAGATCAGCCAGTTTACCAGATCCGAGGAGGAGTTCTGGCCATTATACCAGTGTACGATCAGGTCCCCTACATTCTGGGGTCCTCCCTACATCCTATGCATCTACCCAACAGCAAAGAACAACCCATACTATCCCCTCACAGCCCCATATAAAAGCTGGTAGTGAACTCAAGTACCATATCCCTATTCCAGGGAATCAGCCACAACCGCCTGACATTCGGATCGCAAGTGAGAACAGATTTGATTCTGGTGTTTATTATGGTATTAGTCCAACTGCCCCCAACCAGAGAAATAGTACCTCATCTTCGTCAGGGTACTCCGCCTATGGTATCCCATCAGAACGTAAACTATCATATGATAGTAGATCAGTTATACCTACCAGTGACATCTCTAGAGATGCCTTCTCCAAGTCCGACACACAGCTGAATGCAGCTCCAGCAATACCATCATTCAGGGAGGGTGCTCTGCATCCATCATATGTGCATCCTAAGTCTAGTTCAGCAGACCAACTACAGCCGGATGGAGCTGTCATCTCAGACAGTTTGAACATTCCTCACCTGGACCGTGGTATGTTTTCAGATGTTGATTATGACATTGAAGTGTCAGAAAGAGTGAACAGGTGGGAAACATACATGAAAAAGAGGAGTGATCCTGATCTTGGAACCATCCAAGAGAGGAATGAGCAGGATTTGCTGCCAAGAAACATTCGTAGATCAGTGTATATGGAGCAGAAACTTGAGATACCACAGTCCCCAGTTGGCCCTGTGTCCCAGAGCTTCACCTGGAGTAATCTGCGCACTCTCAAACCATCCAGTTCTGACCCAATGATACACCTTGCTGCAGATCCTCAGATGATAGCTCAGGAGACCAAGAGCTTATTCCACCTGATTAGAGAGCCAGTGTCAGGTGCCCAGTACCACACTACAAGTGCAGTGAGCACTTTCTATCACGCACCAGTTCCACAGCTAGCTACTGGTGGTTTATTGACTGCAGCAGAATTGCGCGAACAAATGCTAGCCAACAAACAGCCTGCTCTCCAGCCAGCTACCCATGGTGTTCCAGCTATTACTGCAAATGGTGGGAAATGTGTTTCTCGTTATGAAGAATTGGAGGAACTGAAAGATGCTAAGAGTGACAGTGTAAGGGATTTGTGTAGAAGGTTTGATCTGGACTTTCAACTAGATTCTGACAGTCAGCTTCAAGGACAGTTACCATCAAAGCATGATGACGATACTGACTGGTCAAAACTTATATCTGACCTAGAAGATAAAATCAAAGAAACAGAGGTTTGGTCTCCTAACATGGAGAGCAACAAGGGAGATATGGTCAGCATAGAAAGAGTGAAAGCAAGAACATTACAAACAATACCCTTCTCAGAGGACCCTTTCTGGAAAGAAATCGAGGAAATGACAAGTTTTGAAAAAATGTTTAATGGAACAGGTTTAGATGACCCTCTATCTTTTAGACAGCATCAGCTTGATTATCCCCATAGTCAGAGCTACACACTTCCCACCCAACCTCGTACTTCAGCTAGGGATAGAATGCATAGGTCAAAGTCACTTTACACACCCAATATAACTCCTTTAACCATTTCTGTAGATAAATATAGTGCCCCCAGTGCGTTAGATGATGTCTTAGATGACATCAAAACATCCCTTGAGAAACAATCAAGCCCTAAAGTAAGGAAGGCTGGGGACAGCTCTGACTCACACAGGTCTTCTCCAGGCCCACCTTTCCCTGAGGTGAACATCTCAAGCTCTTTGAGACCTAGAATGTATGCTGATGTGTCCAGGAGCTACTGGGATGATACTCACCTGGGTGCAGCACCAAGTGTGGCCCCTGCTCCAGCTCCAGCTCCAGCTCCAGCTCCTGCTCAAGGTTTGTTGTTGACATATGCCGCTCAGCAGCCAGCCCAGCCTGTTCTTGGAATGCAGGAGTACCCCAATGTTGTGAATGGCAACTATCAGCTTGACCCTAATATACTCAAACAGAAACTGCTTAACACTGGTCTTGCGCAGGGCCAGCTTCTGAAGTCACCTGGACGCATTCGACCCAAGCCGCCTCCTCCGCTTATCATACCACAAAGCTCCCAGCAGCCCCCCACCTTGTTCTCAGTAACCCATCCTGCTCCGCTGAAGTCCCAGCCTGTACCACCCCGCAATGTGCCTTCCTCTGAAGAAAAGATTAATCAGGTAAATCAGTCTATGGAGGATCTGAGACAAATTGCTAAAGATGTTGAAAGTAAAATTAATCAAATAAAAACCAAACTAGTTAGAGCTGATGAAAAGAACCTTGATAAAATTTTGCTGGCCCTTAGAAAGTTTGCTCCAGCAGCAAGTCCAAAATCATTTGAACCTCGTAATGAATCTTTTCAAGATTTTTATGTGAAAAAAAAGTCCAAACTGTCAGATGCCCTAACCGAACTTGAACGCATTTACAAGAGTTTGAATCTTGATGATGAAAGTCTGCTGGATAGGGCAGAGAGAAGGGACTACCCATCCTACAGGTCACAGGGACCACCTCAGGCTCCTAGTATTACAGAGAGACCTGAGCAGAAGATTGAAACCAGCAGTATCTCCTTCCAAGTTGCAAAACCAGACAGATTTAGTGGCAAAGAACCTGAAAGAAAGTCTGAGGCAGACTATGAGGCCATCTCAAAGTCATTTCAGGCCATACTTGATGAAGTGAATCAGACGTCAGCTGTCATAGCAGGGCCCAGCAGGATGCAGACATCTCCAGGTAATATTGTGCCCAGGTTTAACTACCCTCCTCAAACAGGACCAAGTCCCGAGCCAGTAAGGAAAATATCGGCACCACAGATGTCTCCAGTATCATCCATAAATTTTCAGCCAAAGCCTGAAGTTGCTGTCAGTCCAGATCCACAAAGAAAAACCTTAATGAGAACTGGCATTCCTCGACCTTTGAACCTTCCAGTGGTAAGTCCTGACCCAGGCAGGAAGGCTCTGGCCCTCATGTCAACAACAGCCAAGGTCGTTCAGCCAGGAACACAACGCACTGTCACACAGGAACCCCTGATACCACGACAACTAGCACAAGAGCCTCTCATAGGGAAGTCAGGGAAAGCTATGGTTCCAATTCCCAAGAAGGGTAGTAGTTTAGATGAACCACAAAGGCATAATTTGTCGGCAAATGTGAGTAAGTTGATGACTCAGAGTGGGATTCCCCCTGAAACTCAAAGTCAGAGTGTTTCAATCGTGCTGAAGTCCCCTGGAGCACCATCAACAAGCAGCTCCCAGCCTGCCATGTCGGTCAGCTCCTCCCAGACACCCCAAGCAGTAGCTCCTAGAGACAGAAAGGCACGCGGCAGGTTTCGCTCCAAGAATCCTGATTTGGTGGATGATGATGTAGCCATTAGGAAAGCCAGGTCCAAGTCAACCCCACGAGCAGAGACACAGTCAACAGGAGTGTCTCCTACAACAGCTGATTACCTCAAGCCAAGGGAATCATCACCACCTCAGTCACATCTCAGACTTCGACCAGAGAAAGATGCCGACATTATGCATGATGACCTGGCTTATCGTTCTCTGCGCAAGGATGTTGCCACAGAAACACCGAAACAAACAACAGCAACATCAACAGTGGAATTTCAGATAAAGCAGCCAGCAACGCCACCATCACTTGCAAAATTTGAAAAGCCCTTTGACATCCATGCTGCTAAAGTGAGTGAGAAGAAACCTCCTTCACCCCATGGTTCTCCCAAACAGCGGACAGTGGAGACCCAGACATCATCACAGGAACTGAAGAAGAAAACTCTTCGTGGTCGACATCCTCATCTAAAGAATGATGCCTCCAGCTCGGAGAGCTCAGATAGTAAACGTCGGCCGGCTAAGATAGGTCGAGGAATTGCCAGAATGGTTGAAATTTTTAGCTCAAGTGATGAGGAAAAGAGTCGGAAATCCAAACCCCTTCATACTCGAAGTGCTCCTGACTTGACTCTAGCCTTCACTGATGATGATGATCTGGATCTGAAAGATGAGTCGAGAGAAAGTGATATTGGTTCTAAAACGCTGGGGCACGTTAAGACACCGATGGATGTGAGTGTTTCAGACAAAGTTGTGAGCAGTGAAACATCCGAGGTTTCCACTCCCACATCTCCCAGTGCTAAACCTCCCGTCCACCCGCTGAAGAAGCAAGCTGCCAGCCCCGAGAAGACAGTTGTCGTTCCAGAGCAGAAAGTCGTGAAAGATGTGAGTGGGAAGAGTGAGGTAGACAATTTGGAAAAAGTATTTGTGTCAAGTAGAGGTAAGCGTGGTAAATCAGCTGAAAGAGGAGCAGAGAGTGATAGTGCTATTCTAGAAAAGCCTGAGAGACCAAAGAGTTTCCATGAACTACTGGCATCATTTGAGCCAAATACGAATCGCCTCCAGCGACTGAAGACATTACGGAAGTGTGCATCTGAAGATATCGTGATGCCCGAGACTGTGGTGCAGCGGACATACCACTCCCAGCCCTACCACTCCGAGCCGCACCTGGCAGAGCAGCGAGAGAAGGCACCAACCAGAGAAGGTAGAGCTTGTCTAAAAGTTCAGTTGACTGTAGTGGGATAGTGTAACAATAACATCACCAGTACACTGTCACGGGCACATGACTCTAGTAACCAGATTCATTGAAGACATTCATGTCACTTTGTTTTTTAATCTAACAGTGCTCTTCTTTATATCCATATATTCACATGCAGGTTGTGATTTTCAAAATATTGATTTTCCTTTGTTATTATTTATTGAAAGTTATGTGGTTTTGTGTGAAACAGCATTGTACTGTATTCTAGATATTGATGTATTGGAGACTTCCTGTCTGTATGTATGCTGTTTATGTGCATGTGTACCACAACACAGGATACATTCACTACACAAACTGCGTCTTTTGAATGACTGACTCAAGTTCAGTTTTTGTGGATCATACTACTTGTGTGAATTGGTATTACAATCACCATAGATATATGCCATCTTCCTGGTGCCAATGGTGGACCTAATGCCTGAGATTACATCACAGAGAGTGGTGGGTTAATGAGATGTGTAGATCAGTGAAGCCAATGCATAAATAGAGACATGTATCGGGTGTTGTGGTATACATCAGATTGGACAGTGTTTATGTCTAACACCATGTGGTGACTCATGTGGGGGGAACTGATGATCACGGACTTGTGTCATTCAAGCGGGGAGGGGTTGGTGGTGCTGCCAACATCAGATAACAGCTGAACCCTGTTCTAAAAAATTATCAGTACAGAACTGTTAACTGATCTTTAAGTAGCATATTTATCTTCTGTTTTGAAAGATTTCTTTTGAGGTTAATTTTTCAATTTTAAATAAACACTTTGTGGGAAAGGTGGGCCACGTGATCATCAGAGGTCGCCCAGTAAGGTACATCATATGGAGGAGGGTATCAGGTGTTGATGGTGTCCTGCTTCTTTCAGAGGTTCGCAGCTGGAGGCTAGCTGTGCCTTAACATTCAAAGGGTAAATCTGGTTGGCTCATATGAGACCTTGGTGTCATTGACTGGCTGAGAGTGTTGTTTCATATGAAATTAGGCTTTAAATGTGGCAGTTAATTCACCTAGACTGTTTATAGATTGTAGACAAGTCATTGAGTAACAGCATATGCTTCCACACTAACAGCGTTATGAATAATTCTCACTGACACATGCAGAAGGGGTGTGCTGTCACAGAAGGTGCTGTTATAAAGTATTCTGTGTGCAACATTCACATCAACACTCTTCTACATTCAACTTTCTCACTCAACCTCATAAGCAGTTTAACTAATACTCCAGAATAGGCTGAGTTGTATCTCCTTAAAATTACGAGTGAGTGTTGTTTTCCAATGATGATGCTGGTATTATAAGAACATTATATTACATGCAAAATGCAAAACAAAGAACAGTTTATTAAGGTTTTATATGTGATTTACTTTGATGTAAGTGTGCAAGAAAGAACTTACAATGTTTTGTAGAATACTTGCTTTTTTTTTGTTGTGAATTGTGTTGCTTTTGATGTTGTGTAGAAATAAAAGGAAACAATATTTCACTGTAGTTGGGTTTTTTGCTGTTGCATGTTGTGACATTTTAATGTGTTCGTACCCATATTTAAGCACCTAACTTTAGCACACATCATGTGCTGATTGTTTCTGTAATGCATGCTACATTTGTGTAGGCAGCCGTAAGCTGAATCAGAGTAATATTCAGTCAGATTGATTATCAATATTGCTTCTCAGGAAATGATAACGTTGATATATAGAAAATATAAAGCGTGTTTTTGGCATGCATTAAATCCATGATTTCAATATTCTGTTTGTGCCTAAATGGTGAATGAGGCTATAAGTGTTTTGTTTGGCGTTCCATCCCCAATTATGTAGCAACAGTTTTGATGACTTATTGACTATTTTTGTTCTTTGTAGGAGCTGCGATGTCCCCTGCATCTAGGAATGTCGTCTGCACAGCTCAGTCTCGCATGAACTTTAAGTCAGAACTGGTTCTCAGAGTCGGCATGTGTACACTTTGAGTGAGTGAATGTTCTGTAGGCTGAGGCGTAACGCAAGAAATATATCCTGGTGTTTTGATGAATAGAATGAAAGCAGCAGTATCTTCAGTATTGTCCTACTCACATCCTCAACACTTCACAGGCTATTGTACATAATGTTCCGGCCTCCATCACCATCAATACGTACAGCTGCTTTGCGGTGTAGTCGCTATTTTCAGCAACAAATCAAGCCAAGGTTTGTTCCAGCGAGGGGGAAGCCAGGTGCGCTGACCAACAAGTGTCAGATTACCTCAGCAATGTTTCTCATGCCATGTGTGCCACAGCCTTGTGGTCATTGCTTCAACATCAGGCAACAGTAGGGTTAGCACAAAGCTAATGCAAGGTACGTGTCACATGAGATTTGTGTGACATCTACACTGACTTTGTCATTACCTGAATAGGCATGCATCACTATTACACTGCATAGCAGCCATGTGTATTCATGAGGGATGGAGAAACTAAATGAGTAGGTACTGTACTGTTTTGAGGTATCGTTATTCGGGATCACAAATGGTGGAGACCTGGAACACAGAAGAGAAAACAGTGTAAATTCTACACCTGATTTTATAATGTAAATGAACATTATCTTGCCGGAACATGGTGTATATACAGCCCATGAAGGATTGAAGATGCATATTTAAGTGAACTCTTTTTTGTCATTTGAATTAAGCCATTGTAAGTGTTTAGTGGTTGTGTTATTTGAACACAATGAAGTGAGATAGGTCCCTCATCAGTCGGTCTGATGACAACACACACAGTTGGTGGGGTGGATTTTGAACCATCAGCAACATCATATGTATGCAAGCTCTAAAATTGTCTCCCCTTGTTCAGACAACATTCACTCAATGAAAGGGACATAACTCTGTATGAGCCAGGTCTGACTGTCCTTCCATAGAGCAATAACTATGTATATACATATATATACACTCACAGTGTTACATTTTGGACTTCGTTAGTTCTTTTGCCTAGGACATCCAGTCAGGTTGGATGGTAGTGGCGACAGAATATTACACTCTGATGTTTAAAGTAAAATGATACTCTAATGTTTGTAGATATTCAGTGTGAATGTACCATTTTACTCATCTATTTGACATACTTTATGTCTTTGTATCTTCTTTCTTGTTTATGTTTTTTAGCTCTCCTATGTCAGTAGTCAGGTGTTTCATCTTCATAACACTTAATCTCTGTTGACAAAGAAATGTATTGTGTTTTCAAGGCCTTGATGATGTAGAGGCTGATGTCACTTTAACCCTGTTCTTATTGTGCAACATCTTTTCTTCAGATATAAAGTTGTCTGAATAACATTTCTCTGAAGACAATGATGAATTATTTCTGGCTGTGTGAATTATTTATTATTCAATACGAACCATACATAGTTATAAAGTTAGCAAATAGTTTTATTTCTCTATAAGTTTTCAGAACAGCTATTTGGCTGTGACATTAGCAATCCCACAACTATATAGTTATTTTAGAAGTTGGATCAACCAGTTATTTGCTATATTGAGATAATATATACTGTAAGATGTGTGATATATAAGCATATGCCTGTAATGTATTACATGTAAAGTGGTGTATACAGTCATGTATTGTATGTTAAGGTGGTGTATAACCTGTTTGTTGTGCAGTCAGTTACACTGCAGTATGTACCACAAGGTCATGAGTGTGCCAAATTGGATCCATGTAGACATGGATCAGGGCTTTTTGGCTTAATTGCTTCTTGGAGCAACTGTACATTTATGTATAAATTGTTATGAAGTCAAACATCTATGAGGAATTGATGTTCTGGTTGTGGCTTTTGGTGATTTGGCCTGCAGAACTACAAGTGCAATAATGTATCAACAGCTATAATCCCCAAGTGCCATGTTTGTCTGCCCAGACACTGATGAGGAACCTTTTCCTGGTTCTCTGTGGCTGCTGATATTACCTGGAAGTAAGATCCAGGGTCACTTTTCACTATGTTATTTGTTCCTAGGGAACTGTTGTTTGCCTTGAGCCACTGAGGGCTGCACCTGCGACACTGTGAAGGACTGCAGCATGAAGCTATGTGATATGTGTGTGGCTGGAATGTGGGCAACGCTGACATGTGCAGACACCAAGTCCAATCATCTCGTGATAACCATGTGCAGGACCAGGATATAATATATAGCAGCCTTGTTGTCAACTTAGATCTTTCATCATGGTGATGAATTTGGTGCTTTATCTACCAGGCTTTGTCAATGTTTCATCTGTTATATTCTTATTGAAATCAGATACTTCTTGGTTTTCTGTGCAATATGTTGTTATTTTAGTTGTTAAGTTAGTCCTGGACTGAGCAATGGCCTGTATGGCAGATCATGACACTATACATAAGGCTACTGTAAGTCTTGAAATTAATGCATCCCCAAATTAATACGACTGTTGATCCCAATCGTCTATCCAGAGTGTGCAGTGAGGACGTCTTATTGTTGATAGCCATTTTGGAGAAATAAATGCAAATTTTAGCTAATGCGTGCAAAAAACACTCGCATTTTTCGCTTTAAATTCATGCTTACGTTAATTTCAAGATTTACAGTATACACTTCTAGCATTGGTTTTATGTTATTTACACAGACTTTTGTTTTCAACATCATTGAAAATAAATTGCGTTAAACTTTGCCAAGTTACTCTAACATTAGTTTGTTTGCAAAGTATGTTATTGTATATGATACTGTATCAGACCTAACTATCTAAAGGTTTTTAATATTTTAAGTAACCTAAGGTTGACAAGGCAGATTTTCGTGATATCTCATATCCCTCTGTATCACATTATTTCTCTGCTAAATATGACATACAAACGTGTTGACATAATCCGGTATTAGTCCTTGTGTTTGTTGAGCTAGGAACACGTGCAATCTAGTGTCTACTTTAGTGTGCTGTAACAAGCACTCTACCCGAGCTGCTACACAGGCCGGGCAGCCAGGCATACACTTCAGACATGGTCTTGTGTCACAGTGTCTCACAACAACAGGAAGAAGGATATGACCACACGTTCAACTGACAAAATAACCCATCCCTCAGACTTTCTCCTGCTGAGAACATTTGCTGTGCCTGTTGTCCTGGAAGAAAGTGGGTTGTCTGTCCTTGCCTAGCCAGCCTTAGTGTCACGCCTGTGTTGACGTCAGTAGGATATACTTGTCACCATTATAGACAATAAAGAGATCTATTTTTCAAATGTCTCTCTGGCTTCATTTACACAAAGCATTACATGTAGCATCAGCGTAATCAAGAATGACATCAACAGCAAACATGAAAATTTGTAAGTCTTGGAATAGCTTTAATGAGAAATATATTACTTGTTGGAAGAACAGAATACATGAAGAACATCTTATATTCTTATATCTATTTATTGCGTACAAACTCTTGGCACAAAGTAATAATTTGTGATGAACTTGATGAGACACTAAGATTATCATTTGAACATTATACAAGACTCCACCGTAATCCAGGTCTGTACATTCATCTGCTGCCTGTGTTACACATGACTGATCTAGGTCTGTACATGCATCTGCTGCCTGTGTTACACATGACTGATCCAGGTCTGTACATACATCTGCTGCCTGTGTTACACTGATCCAGGTCTGTACATGCATCTGCTGCCTGTGTTACACTGATCCAGGTCTGTATATGCATCTGCTGCCTGTGTTACACTGATCCAGGTCTGTACATACATCTGCTGCCTGTGTTACACATGACTGATCAAGGTCTGTACATACATCTGCTGCCTGTGTTACACATGACTGATCAAGGTCTGTACATACATCTGCTGGCTGTGTTACACATGACTGATCCAGGTCTGTACATGCATCTGCTGCCTGTGTTACACATGACTGATCCAGGTCTGTACATGCATCTGCTGCCTGTGTTACACATGTCTGATCCAGGTATGTACATGCATCTGCTGCCTGTGTTACACATGACTGATCCAGGCCGTACATGCATCTGCTGCCTGTGTTTCACATGACTGATCCAGGTATGTACATGCATCTGCTGCCTGTGTTACACATGACTGATCCAGGTCTGTACATGCATCTGCTGCCTGTGTTACACTGATCCAGGTCTGTACATGCATCTGCTGCCTGTGTTACACATGACTGATCCAGGTCTGTACATGCATCTGCTGCCTGTGTTACACATGACTGATCCAGGTCTGTACATGCATCTGCTGCCTGTGTTACACATGACCGATCCAGGTCTGTACATGCATCTGCTGCCTGTGTTACACATGACTGATCCAGGTCTGTACATGCATCTGCTGCCTGTGTTACACATGACTGATCCAGGTCTGTACATGCATCTGCTGCCTGTGTTACACATGACTGATCCAGGTCTGTACATGCATCTGCTGCCTGTGTTACACATGACTGATCCAGGTCTGTACATGCATCTGCTGCCTGTGTTACACTGATCCAGGCCTGAACATGCATCTGCTGCCTGTGTTACACATGTCTGATCCAGGTTTGTACATACATCTGCTGCCTGTGTTACACATGACTGATCCAGGTATGAACATGCATCTGTTGCCTGTGTTACACTGATCCGGGTCTGTACATACATCTGCTGCCTGTGTTACACTGATCCAGGTCTGTACATGCATCTGCTGCCTGTGTTACACATGACTGATCCAGGTCTGTACATGCATCTGCTGCCTGTTACACATGACTGATCCAGGCCTGTACATGCATCTGCTGCCTGTGTTACACATGACTGATCGACCGCCTCCGTGGTCTTGTGGTAGAGCGTCCGCCCGGAGAGCGGAAGGTCAAGGGTTCGATCCCGGGCCGCGTCATACAAAAAGACGTTAAAAGATTGTACTTGTTGTTACCCTGTCTGGCGCTCGGCATTAAGGGGCTAAAACAAGGACTGGTTGGCTCGGGGTCAGTATACTGTGTCTGAGTGGGGTATTCATGTTAAACTGCGGCATGGTATCTCAGTGAGCTAGCACTATAAATTGGCATCAGTCCGGACTAGTACAAGCAGCCACACAAACACACACACGTACATGCACGTCGCTATATAAGTGCAATAATCTTAGACGCGACGTTAAACCCAATTTCACCTCACCTCACCTCACATGACTGATCCAGGTCTGTACATACATCTGCTGCCTGTGTTACACTGATCCAGGTCTGTATATACATCTGCTGCCTGTGTTACACTGATCCAGGTCTGTACATACATCTGCTGCCTGTGTTACACATGACTGTTCAAGGTCTGTACATGCATCTGCTGCCTGTGTTACACATGACTGATCCAGGTCTGTACATGCATCTGCTGCCTGTGTTACACATGACTGATCCAGGTCTGTACATGCGTCTGCTGCCTGTGTTACACATGACTGATCCAGGTCTGTACATGCATCTGCTGCCTGTGTTACACATGACTGATCCAGGTATGTACATGCATCTGCTGCCTGTGTTACACATGACCGATCAAGGTCTGTACATGCATCTGCTGCCTGTGTTACACATGACTGATCCAGGTCTGTACATGCATCTGCTGCCTGTGTTACACTGATCCAGGTCTGTACATGCATCTGCTGCCTGTGTTACACATGTCTGATCCAGGTCTATACATACATCTGCTGCCTGTGTTACACATGTCTGATCCAGATCAGTACATGCATCTGCTGCCTGTGTTACACTGATCCAGGTCTGTACATGCATCTGCTGCCTGTGTTACACATGTCTGATCCAGGTCTGTACATGCATCTGCTGCCTGTGTTGCACTGATCCAGGTATGTACATGCATCTGCTGCCTGTGTTACACTGATCCAGGTCTGTACATGCATCTGCTGCCTGTGTTACACTGATCCAGGTCTGTACATGCATCTGCTGCCTGTGTTACACTGATCCAGGTCTGTACATGCATCTGCTGCCTGTGTTACACATGACTGATCCAGGTATGTACATGCATCTGCTGCCTGTGTTACACTGATCCAGGTATGTACATGCATCTGCTGCCTGTGTTACACATGACTGATCCAGGTCTGTACATGCATCTGCTGCCTGTGTTACACATGACTGATCAAGGTCTGTACATGCATCTGCTGCCTGTGTTACACATGACTGATCCAGGTCTGTACATGCATCTGCAGGACATGACAAGGCAAAAGTGTAGCTGAACTAATCGAGCCGTGGCGGCATCTGTGTAGCTGAATTATTTGACGAGTTTTAAGGCATATGTATGGCTGTTTTAATCGGGGTGTAGTAACAGAAATGTTTGCTTATGGCTCAGCCTCTGAATCATCAAATTGTAAAACATGAACTGTATGATGACTGAAGCAACAAACAGAATAAAAATGTAGATATATCACAACACCGCTAAACGTTAATACGTCATTATTTTAACCTCTATGTTAAAATACTGTGTAGTCCATATTCCATAAAGCATCAGCGAGATATATGAAGTTCAACATACACATAGCATCTTGCACACACATGCAGTACAATTCATGTACTACTGGACAACTGTGAAGGTGCTATGAGTTGGTTTCATCAGTTTAAGTGCATCAGTTCAAGATCGCACTGACCGCCCATCTGGTTCATCCTCATCAATAGGTGATGTCTGTATTTTAAGGAGCTTCAATAGTAGTCAAAGTTTGAAAGAGTGTCTCATCTTCTCTTTTGGAATAGGGTGACTTTCTATGGATGACTGAAACACTTCAAAAGCTACAATAGAAACAGAACAGCATGCTCCGTGGGTCACTGTTCAAAGTTGTTACAGATTCCAGGCACGACTCGGATGTCGTTGTTGAAGTCAACCTTTGTGAAGTGTTGTAAAATCCCTGTATATTACCCATTCGCGTAACCCTGAGTCTGTGCTGAAGGGCTGCCAAAGTAGAATCAAAAACACATTCCAGAATACCTTCATGAAACTGCACGTATTGATGAGTGAACTAATCTTGCCTTTTGCCATTTAGCATTATCACATGGCATTTGTAGTGTGTGTTTTCTTGGAAGACGTTGGTCGGGACTAGTTGTTATATGTTACATAAAGATTCAGTATATCCTGGAACACCATTGTCCAAAAGGTCACAATAATACGGTGTCGTGAGGTGCCATTTGATATTCATAATTTGATTGATTCAGTTGATTGTAAATTTAGGATTCCACTGAAAAAAGATATTTTCAATCTGATAAACTGAACCGTATTGAAACTACATTGATAATCAGTGTATACTTTTAGATATTTACTTTTGTGGGTAAAGTCTCCCGTCATGATAAGTTAACCTACTTCCAGGAAAGCAGGTGAAGGTGATTAACTGTATTCCTTCCCGTTCCCTACATCACAAGTCAATGAATGGTGAAGGCAATATACCTTTATCAACTTCGGTCACATTGCGCGCTCCAGTCATAGGTTATTACAGGTCACGGTCGAAGACATGAACACGAACACAAGAACAGTTTAAACCCAGGAAGGAACTAGAGTTTAAGAACGCATACAGAATGTGTCACATCGTCGACACACACCTCAAGAGACAATATGTGTGAAGAGAACGAGTAAGTTTGATCCAGTGATATCGACTTTTCTCTTAACCTTTTTCAAATATATCCACTCAACGAGCAGGTTCAAGAAGGTAAATGGTTTCGATAACAACAGAGACAGATGAAATTCAGCATGTTAGAAGAACATGCATATCGCACACCATTTTACGTGGCTTACATCACCCAACTATTTGTATGTGTACACAGTTATGGGTCTCGTTCTACAAAGCGATCTTAGCGTTACCAGCATCGTGAGTCCATGTAAAGGTAGTTGAGATATAGCAAGGATAAACTAGCTTTGTGATATTGGTCCTGGTTCTTGGGTTTGCGCGGAGTGTTCAACTGCCTCTCTTTACATGTATAGTGCCATGCCTCTCCAGCAGCCCTGTGGCCGTCATCCCCTACACCAGGCACAACATCCACGGCAATTCAAGTCAGACTCCTTCGCCAGTCTCATATGTTCCGGTCTATAATTACGATCAACTACATGAAACAGTTAACATCATCTTGAAGTGTATGTGTTTACAAGGACCCACCTAATTAGTGTTGAGCAATAGGGCTTGTCTTGGCTTTAAATCTCAAATGAGAATTTCGCGCTATAAATACCATCTTAAAACATGTAAACCGCGACATCGTCTTCACCTCAAGTTAACTGCAGAGCAAACGAGGGGAAATTACATACAAGTAC